GTAAGATTTGGATATAAATGTAAAATTTGAAGTTTAGGTCTTGTTATGTAAATACATAGATTTGTGTAGTAAGTATCTAAATGCCACTAAAATTAAATGTCATATATATAAAGATTGGGGTATTTTGAGTTCATTATTTTGGGGTTATTAAGTTAATTATTTGAAGATTATATATGTGTAAATCCCTCTCATGTACGGAAAAAATTAGCGTGCGTAAGATGTATGCAGCGCTGCGTACATAATGGAGGTTATATTCACGACATTTCAATATTATATTCGCGTTATATCTCCTGTAACCTCCATGTAACTTCAATGTAACCTATAGATATGTGAAAACAGAAGCGCTAAACTTATTTGTAAGTTCATGTACGTTACATGTAGGTTATATGAAGGTTACATCAAGGTTATATACGATATAACATAGATATAATGCAGATATAACATGAATATAACATCCATCATGTATGCAGCGTTGCGCACGTCTTACATACGCAAATTTTTCTCCTCATGTACCTATCCGATTCAAGAGAAATATTTGAGTACGTAAGACATATGCAATGCTGAGTTGGGTTACATGGAGGGTATCAAGTGTTATATCCACATTATACTCATATAAATCCCATATAAGATATATATATATATAACTTAAAAATATATGAAAAGAGAAGTACTTAAGGCAAGTACGCAAATATTTCTAGTGATTCAAACGAGGCAAACATCCACTCCGGAAGAGAAAAAGCCATTCAACAGTGGAATTTACGTACATACGGCATATTCTTTCGGTTGAAAAGCCTTTCTGCTCTCTATCCTTCTCAGTTCCCACTGCTCACTCCAGCTCGCTCGATAGAGAAAGCACGCGAGAATGAGCTTCCCCCGGTCATCGTTATTGTGTCAGAAGTCATTCGGGTTCCATTGCTTTGTTTTTTTTCTTCTGTTTGCTGGTTTTTCTTTTTCAGAGGATCCCTACATCTTCTTGGACTGGGATGTCTCCTTTATCATGGCTTCTCCTCTAGGAATCAAGCAGCAGGTAAAATTTTCGGCATTTTTTTAGCTATATAATACCTATTTTTACCGTTTTGGTCCAACAAGTGAAAGTGCTGGTTTCCATGCTTCCGATTTGGGTTGATTCTGCTGGATTGGGATGAATGACAAGAGGTGGAAGTTTGTTTCCTTACGATTTCTGTTCTGCGCTAGAGATGGTGTGCCAGGGTTGAATTTTTGTCCACTTTCGAGAGTGGTTGGCATTATTAATTATATATATATGCTTGATGAAATGTTCATGAAGACTTTCTTAGATATTTCATATTTATGCAGTTCGTAGTTCTGACCAAACATGGAGAAACGGTATTTATAAGCTGATTTAAGTTGGCGAAGCTGTTTGGTGTCAAAATAAAAATTCAATAAAATAAAAAGTTTAGTTTGATTTCAGTCTCACATCATAAACATGCACCAAGCCCTAAGATAAATCTCAGCACACATGCCAGCATTACCACTGTTCCCTATCAGAATCATGGAAATTTCTTTCTTTGGTGAACTTGAAGTTGTTTGTAATGAAGCATCTCATTTCCTTCTTCCATTATATTCTATAAGCCTGCTTGGCCATATCTTTCCCAACTCTCGAAACAATACATTGCACAAGGAAATTCACTCCTTTATGTGGGACACTCCTCCTATGTAACGTAGGCACGTGAGTTTAGCCAGTGAATTGTACATAGTATTTCATACCCGTGGTAGAACTTGAAAGAGGGAATAACAAGATCTATTTTTGCTAGCAAAGTGAGGGAATGACATTATAGAATGTAACATAGTATTTAAGTAATGATCTCATGTTAATAACAATGTAAAGTCAACTCCTTCAATAGATCACAATCCATGTTATGAAGAAGGTTCTTGACTGAGGATATTAACAGAACATTGTTTGAAATATAAAAAAGAAAGTTATGGATAAATTAGTTTTCTTGTTAATATTGTACTCTTTTGGTGATGTTGAGCTCCATGTACATCACGTTAAATTGATTTCTTTATGAATATACAACCTTAGATAGACCTTTTTTAGCGATTTCACCTATGGTCTATGAAGTCCTCTTGCATGATGCAATCATAGTTGTTGACAAAGATCTTTCATTCATGTTGGATTTCTATATCTATTGTTCAAGTAGATTCGATTTTATGATAATGTGGGATAATTGTAATGCGAGAACTCAATAAGATTTATCATCATCTACCCACCATATTTATTGATCCAATCACATAATATTTTATCATCTAATTCAAATCAATATTTCTAAGATAAAGCGTCATTGATTCTATTGATTAGCCTTAGTAAAAAATTCACTTTCATGATCAAAATAGATAATTCTCATATTTACGTTTGCCTATTAGAAATTTTAAATTGGATCACAAAGGCCTTGCTAATGAGCAAAATTTTTGGACAATGTATGATCTAAAAGTCCAATTTACCTTATAAAAATTAACTTGGATGCCAACTCAAATATATGATAAAGCTTGGTTGGGATTTTCAAAGCCCAACTATCTTAACCTTCTTTAGGTCTTCCTCTTCGTAAAGAGTATCAATCTATGCTTTTGGTTTGCGGGTAACCTTCTTTGTTATCGTCATATCATAAGAGAAATTATATGTATTCCTAATATTTTTATCATATTTTTGCCGGTAAATTATAAGATCATCATCATTTCTTACAACCAATGTTTTAGAAGGAATGATTATTGGGAGGGGTGTTTAGCTGTTATAGGGCGAGGCATGAGCACTAAGGCGTCGGGCCTATGCCCCAATGTAAAAAAAAAGAATATAAATATTAAGAGACAAAAAAATAATACTATTTGTGCTTAATAAAAAAAATTATTAAAAGACATTAAAAGAACTCACATTCATTCAATTTCAAAACAAGTATTATAGGATTAGAATCTTCAAGATATTAAAAAAAATCTATCACAAAAGTAGAAACATATACAAATAAGTACACATGTTTGAGCTAAAAAATAAATTTGCAATTAATCGATCTCAATTATTGATTGTTCTTTATTTTAAAATTCATCCTCAAAATCTCATTCTTCTTCACTAATAGTTGTGTCCAAATCACAACTGAGTCTTTCATATTCTCTGCATTCATTATCCACTTCATTAAAATCATCATCCTGCTCAATCTCATGTGCATTCACAATTTGTTTGTCTTTATCATTGTCGCTGAAATTATAAAAACAAATAAAATGATATTCGTAAATATTTAGGCTTTTTTTCTATAAGAAATTAGGAACGAATAACTACGTAAATAACAATTAAATGTAAATATGAACTTATTTGTTCTTTCATTCATCTTCATTTTTCTATGAGAATATATTATAAAAATATCATTTCTGGATTCTGCAATATTTTGTGATACTTCATATGGCAGTAGTTGTGGGCATATTTTTTATGACATCAACATCAAATACTTGTTCTTCTTTATTCGTCCAAGATGGTTCATGTGGAAACACTAGATCTTCTTTCTCAACAATCCACTCATCATAAATCTTCTTATTCCACTGACTAGAACACCAAACTTTTAAGGATAACATTGCTCAAAGTGGTTTCTTTTGCTTGTAAAAGCTTTGAAGAATCAAATATGCCGTAGCAAACCATATGATGCCTGCATGAATATGTCCCCTCTCATTTGTAAAAGATTTCATCAAGCCAAGAACCCATGTGTGTTCTTAAATGAATTTAACAACTTGTTTTGCTTTTGCAGCTATGCTTTCGTGAATCTTCAACTTTCCAATATCTTCTCACATTAGGTTAATACAATGTGCTGCACAAGAAACACCTACGAAACAACCAGAACCTCCTTCCATTCTTCGTGTCTATACTCGACATACTCATGCTCCCACTCTGGAGCCCTTCACCTCTTTACAAGACCTGGAATCTGCTTCAAATGACATTCCCATAATCGACACCACTCTGAATAAGGTGAGCTGTCTTGTTGAGTTATGTAATTAGACAAGTGTTAACCTCATTTTTCATGAGGTCTAGTATTTCTCGTAGGAGTTAGGATCTAGCCTTAGGGGTCTTCCTGCGACTATCTTAGAGCCTTAGAAGTGGGCCATCCACTATTGAAGCAACATTAACTGACCATTCTTGGAAAGCTGTAGTAATGGATAAAATGAATGCTCTTCAGTAAAATCATACATGAGATGTTGTGGACCTTCCTTCAAGTAAGAAAATAGTAGGGTGTCGCTGGATTTTTAGCACCAAGATTAACTTCGATGGATCATTTGAACACAACAGGACACGGTTAGTCTCCAAAGGCTACTCACAAGCATACAGAGTTGATTATGAGAAGATATTTGATCTGATTGCTAAATTAAATACTATTCGAGTCCTACTTTCCCTTGCTGTAAATTTGGACTGGTCTTTGCTCTAATTGGATGTCAAAAATGCTTTTCTAAATGGGGATCTCATAGAGGGGTAAATGTGCCTCCCTCCAGGATTTAACTCTAACTGTTCTTCGGGGACAAGTGTGCCGACTGCGGGAGTCCCTCTACGGACTGAAGCAATTCTCAAGGGTCTGGTTCGATAAGTTCACAAAGGTGGTAATGGGTGAAAGTTTTTCATCTACTCAATTAGATCATACTCTTTTCTTTCAACATTCCTCCACTGACAAAATTGCAATTCTATCGTCCATGTCGACGATGTTGTGCTCATAGGTGATGATCATCAGCATCGGAATATTTGAAAGGTATTTTTGGTACTTCATTTGAAATGAACTTGGTATCACTCTGATACTTCTTAAACATGGAAGTTGCTCGGTCGTCTCAACGTATTTGCTTGTCTCAGCGCAAATATTTGGTTGATTTATTGACAGAGTATAATCTTCTCCTTTGTAAACCAGTGACAATCCTAATGGATTCCAATGAGAAATTAATTGATGTTCCCAATGCAATTCTGGTAAACAAGATTCACTACAAAGGGCTTACGGGGAAACTGATTTACCTCGTCCATACTCTTCCAACAATTTTCATGTAGTAAGTATTGTAAGTCAATTTATGCATGATCCCTATGAGCACAATCTCTGAGCTGTCCACAAGATCCTTCAGTACTTAAAAGGCACACTGAACTCATGTTTGTTTTTTTTGCGCCCCACCTCTTGTTTTATTGTTGTTTATACAAATGCGGATTGGGTCGGGTATGTCCATGATCAGCGATCCACTTCAGGATATTGTTCATTCGTATGAGAAAATCTTGTTACGTGGAAAAGTGGAAAACAATCGGTTGTGGCCTGGAGCTGTGCTGAAGCCGAGTTTCACTCCATGTCCTTGTGTATCTGTGAAACTCTGGTTACGCATCATGCTCAATAAATTGCATATGTCAGTCGCTGCTCCTCTCTAGTTGTTCTGTGATAATAAAGCAGCCGTTTATTGCCCATAATCCAATTCAACATTATCAGATCAAGCATGTGGAGATTGACAGACACTTCATTAAGGAGAGGCTCGATTAAAGGGAGATTTGTTTTTTAATGTCTCTTCTAATGATCAATTAGCAGATATCCTTACCAAGAATCTTTTTCGGTCATTTTTTGACTACTTCAAATCCAAGTTGTACATGATGAACATTTATGCTTTAACATCAGTTGGAGTATTAGAATTATTACCGTAATTATTTGACTAATTACTGCTGTCGTTATTATTAGCTTTTTTTTATTTTATTTGCTTCCTTGTTTTTCGTTTCCATACTTATGTATTTTCTAATTGGTCAGTTTCTTAATTTATGTCTTTCATTTATTTGGATATTGTAATATGTATTTATATCTCTTCCTATTAATAAAAGTATGCAACATTATTCTCTAAATTTAACACATTCCATATATATTTTTAACTTTTAAAAACCTAGGCAAGCTAATCTATTTGCCTCCAAGAAGGAGAATAGGAGACCTTCATTCAGTTTAGGTTTACCTTCCATCATGGCCAAATAGGAGGAAGAATAAAAGTCCTTGCTGCAATGACCAAATTCCTTGCCGTGATCCACTCTTGGCATCACACAAAAGCCATTCCCTCTCAATTATGATCTCCCACTCGCGCTGGGTCCATCTCTCGCTCTCAGCTCTACACCTTTTTAAAGGTATGAAACCAACCACTTTGGGTCAATTCGACTGAACCGGTGCAATGGTCCAATTCCCCTTTTTTATCAGAAAAAATACCATAATTATTGCTTTACATAAAAGAAAATAATAACCTATTTAATTTGATTGATAAATAAATTCACTTTCAATGACTCGGATGAATTCTTAAATTTGTTCAATAATTTTAATTAAAGTAAAATTTAACATTAATATTATTAATTAAATAATTATTGTTTTGGGCATTTATCTAATTTTTACTTAATAGAAAAATGTTATGTTTTGATATATTTATCATGTGCCTGGTGTAATTTCATTGATTTGTAGTCATACATAACACACGAGAGTGCTGGCAAAAGTCTATACTGATGTTTTCCTAAGAACGGAATCTTAAAATCATATGATTTGAAGCTAAAAGCGGCTTTAAATCTCTTTCTGCCGGTGCCTTACTAAATTAATGTCAAAGAAATCAATTCGAGTTTTCTACAATTCAATTTTTGGCTGGAAAGTTTTTCTATTATGTGTACACGGCCAATATGATTGATGATTCTTACTGATTCCACTGAACTTTGAGAGCTCAGGTTATTGGAGTTAATGGCCAGTTTCCCGGACCAATATTGAATGTCACAACTAATTGGAATGTTGTAGTAAATGTCCACAACAACTTAGATGAGCCATTTCTTGTTACCTGGTAAGTTGTTCGCTTTGAATTTGGAGTTCGTAACTGGCTTTAATTGTAGTGTTGAACTGATAATTGTAAGAATAATGATATAGGGATGGTTTACAACAACGAAAGAACTCTTGGGAGGATGGTGTTTTAGGGACTAATTGCCCAATTCCTTCTGGTTGGAATTGGACGTACGAGTTTCAGATCAAAGATCAGATAGGAAGTTTCTTTTATTTCCCTTCCATCAATTTTCAAAGAGCATCAGGTGGTTATGGTGGCATTATCGTAAATAATAGAGATGTGATTCCTGTGCCTTTTGGGACACCAGATGGAGATATAACTCTCTTTATCAGTGATTGGTATACAAAAGACTACAAGGTTAGATCCATTTATCTTGAAAATTTAACTTGAAACCTTCAAATGATATGTTTAGTTTGGTTTTAGGATGCACTGACATTACAGGAAAGCAGGAGCTTAGAAAAATCCTTGACGAGGGAAATGAACTTGGTGTACCTGACGGAGTCCTTTTCAATGGTTTAGGTCCCTTTCGCTACAATGAATCAGTTGTTCCTGACGGCATTGTGTATTCAACAATAAACGTCGCGCCTGGTGAGCATATTTGCTCCCTTTGTCTTTTAAGTAAAACCTATATTAAAATAACTTTTGGGAAGGAATATGGGCATGTTATTACTAGATTGTACATTATCTTATTCTCATTCCAATGTGATCTGAAGATAGTTGTTGCATCTAAAGCAATTTATGGCATTATACTGACCTTTTCATTCTGTATATCTCAAACAACTGTGGCTGAACACATATCCTGACATTTTGGTATTTGTTCTTACATTATAGTTTGGCTGCATTTGCACTTACTTTCAGGCATAAGTGTTTTAGTTATTTAATGCTAATCTCAGCTGTGATTCTAATTTATGAATCCTTTCATATAGTCTCAAGCCAACCATTTTTATCTTTTCCTTTCACAGACAAGCAGCGCATAATTTAGTTTAACCTAGCCCTTTTTAATGTAATAAGTAATAAGGGGAAGAGTTGTATTTTGAAGATTAAAAAATAAGTGAATAAGATATTATTAACCTTTCTACATGGCATCTGAGCATCATGTTCGGCTTCAGACGGTTAGACGTGATTAAGGAAGCATTCATCGTTCAACATCGGCTTCGCGCCTAGATAGTTCAACCACGTCATCCGCTCGTCTGGATCACTCTACCGTGTTGTCCGTTCTTCAGGATCGCTTTTCTGCGTCATCCGCTCTACTCCGTCAAGTTCGCTCGTCTGGATCGCTCCGTCAAGTTCGCTCGTTTGGATCGCTCAAATGCTTTGGTCAGTCTTCTGGTTAGCCCATCTAAAGCCTTGTTTGTTTTGTCTGAATAATGCGACAACCTATCTGTCAGCTCTCTTGTCCATCTTCCGTCAGTCTTCTCATGTTGTCCTTGCGGTAGGCCTCATATGTCGGCCCTTATTGGCTATTTTTTTCTTGCAACCGCCTGTAATAATAATAATAATATAAAAAATCAAATGGTGCCAGGGGTTGGTTTCTGACACAACAGTTTCATTATTAGAAGAGGCTTTCCATTCGAACCAGGGGAGAAGCGAGAAAGATGGAAGCGCGGGGAGAAGAAGAAATAGGGAAGTCAGTGGGGCAACCTAGGGCTCATTGAAGGTGGACTCGTGTCATGCGAGAGATGAAGGGGAAGACTCGCCTGTGAGGGACTAAGCCGAGGAAGAATACATCATCAAGCAAGCAAAGGCGGCGAAGCAGCTTTGACAGTTTTGAGGTGATAGAGACTGTGAACAAATGAAGGAGGAAGATGGTGTAATGGAATCAAACGAAGACAGGCGTAGGGCTTGATAGGGCTTTCTCTTGTATGAAATGAATGGTGTTCGATTAGACGAAGATAAACAATTCTAGGGTTGCAGACAATCGAACTGGTCAAAGCTGTGTGATAGGACGAAGATAGAAGACTTTTTGTGCGAGTCCTGTGCAAGCGCAAAAGGAGAGCTCGTGTCTTAAATAATCGATGGAAAAGTGTCGAGCAGCTTTGGTGCGAAGGAGAAGAAGAATGGATTGGCTCTATGTGGGACAAACCGAGCCAAATCAAATTGCAGAGGGAGGAGGATCGTGCAGCTTGTGTAAGGAAGATGGGAGGCAGCGTTTTCTAGTTTTGAGTAGAGAAGGAAATTGAGGTTTGAAGCACTGGGTGCTTGTGTACGGGGGAAGAAGTCGAATTGTGCTTGTTGACCTCATTTTGAGGTTATTACTCTTTTCTTTAGAATCATAGGATCTAGCTCTAGGGGTTCTTATTGATTATCTTAGAAAACTAGTATTGGAATTCACCTCTTTTAGAAATTCTAACCACTTCCTATTTCTCTTGTGATGACTCGCATTGATGATCTCAAAACCATCGTCCTATAGTCGAGTGGTAAAGGCTATCATGTGGAGGCTCAAGGAGAACTTCCCATTATGATCTTAAGCTCTAGGAAAAGCTATTCAGGACTTTATCATCACACACACACACACGAAATACATAAAATTCACTAAGTTGCACAAGATCGAACTAAAATTGAACTTAAAGGATGGGTGAAAATATGAACTTCTCTAGATGACCTCTGACGACAACATGGATTGCGCCAACGCGTCTGAGACACCAATTTTAACAAGGAAAGACACTCATATTACCATAGTTCCACACATGAGCAAATTGCACGCAAATCAATGAATTCGCCAAAATAACCTCCGACAGTGAAAAGAACCGCGCCAGCGCATCCAGAACGTTAAAATTACCTAAAAAGGACATTCAATTTTCTACAATCTGACGCACAAATAAAATGTACAAATTAAATTTTATTTTTAAAATATTAAATACTTTTATATTTATATCATTATTTATAATCTTAATTATAATTTTAAACCCTATTTTCTCTATTCTCGCACACTTAATCCTTCGTTCGACCCCGCAGCTTAGTCGAACGCTCGGCTCGTCTCCCTCGTGTGCCCTATCTCCCGTGGACGATCCACGTGCCAATCTTTTCCCCCTCTCTCGACTCTTCCCCTTCTTCGCGAGGCCGCTCGACCTTTCGGGTCTCCAATTGCAAGGGCCGAACTGGCCGACCCTTCTTCTTCTCGAGGTTTTACCGTCTCCTTTACTGTGAAGTTTTTTTTCTTCGTCATTTGATTCGACTACCAGTGAGGTTGGTAGGTGGTTGTTCCCCTTTCTTATCTGACTATAGAAAAGTTTCTCAGTGTACTGTTTTGGGTTGTTGAAAATTTTCTGAGAGAAGGAGAGGCTGAGGTGTTTGCTGTTCGAGGCTTTTAGGAGGAGAGGCTCTGTCGAATTCCCTTCTTAACTAGATTATTGTGTGCTGGGAATTTGAAATATACGTTGGTTGCTGTTTCTTGAAGCTTTTAGGAAAAGAGACTCTGTTTAAGTTATCTTTTGGCTAGGACCTTGTGTGCTAGGCGTTTGGAAGCTTGATCTCCTTTTTCTATGTTTTTCTTTTAAGGAATTTCAAACAAAGTACTTATTCCTTTTCTTCTTTGTTCTGCTGCCCTGCTCGACACATGTTGGAAATGATAAAATAGGGAATGCATGCATGAGACTTTGTTTTGCCTTAATTGATATTTCAGATGGCATCTGAAAATACTTCTTTTCTCTTCTAAAGCATGCGGAAATAAAGTTAAGGCCTTTACCCGTGAGTTCCTGCTCTCTTTCCTGACCTTACCCGTGAGTCCTTGCTCTCCTTCCTGCTATTACCCGTGAGCTTGTGGAGGATTATTCAGGTCCATTTTGTCCCGGTAGTAAGCACTTCTATATTTTCTAAATTGGTGTTACATTTATATAATTGTGGAAAGCTTCTAAAAAGGGATGAAATTGAATGGATTGGATAATTGTATGGTTTTGAGGATTTAGAAAGTTGCTCCTATGGATTATTAAGGGATTTGAAAGCCTATAAAATTGCCATTTGGAAAAAATCATAGGATCTAGCTCTAGGGGTTCTTATTGATTATCTTAGAAAACTAGTATTGGAATTCACCTCTTTTAGAAATTCTAACCACTTCCTATTTCTCTTGTGATGACTCGCATTGATGATCTCAAAACCATCGTCCTATAGTCGAGTGGTAAAGGCTATCATGTGGAGGCTCAAGGAGAACTTCCCATTATGATCTTAAGCTCTAGGAAAAGCTATTCAGGACTTTATCATCACACACACACACACGAAATACATAAAATTCACTAAGTTGCACAAGATCGAACTAAAATTGAACTTAAAGGATGGGTGAAAATATGAACTTCTCTAGATGACCTCTGACGACAACATGGATTGCGCCAACGCGTCTGAGACACCAATTTTAACAAGGAAAGACACTCATATTACCATAGTTCCACACATGAGCAAATTGCACGCAAATCAATGAATTCGCCAAAATAACCTCCGACAGTGAAAAGAACCGCGCCAGCGCATCCAGAACGTTAAAATTACCTAAAAAGGACATTCAATTTTCTACAA